AATATTTTAGTAGTGTTTAACTTATTTACAAAAACAATTCATTTTATTTTCATATGTTTTATGACGCCAAGTAACGGGACGAACACGTCGTGCGCCTAATGGTAAGCTACTCGCCTGTCCATAACAATTGCAGTGCCACTCAGAGCTTTAAATCGCAAAAATGTGAGGGAAACTGCTACTGCACCTGACACCCTTAGATGTAAGTTGATAAGTCCCATGTGCCTGTAATTTCACCAGCACCCTTACCCTTCAAAATTGGAATAGAGTAATGCTAACATTAGGTACTGCTTGGCGGCAGAAATAGGTAAGGTGGCAGTACTTCTCTGGACGAACTCTTTCACAAGTCGCTCTACTGCTACTAAATTGTTGGTAGATTTCGAGGGATATGTAACTCAGAGCTTAACTAAGACGGATTATTAAAATGTTATGTTAACTATAAAGTAATCTACGGCATGTCTTACAACAGGTATCCTACAACCGTCGTTTGTGAGATAGTGTTTCTTCTCCGTAGTATTTCCCCATTCAAAGTCTACAAAGATCAATTACGTCAAATGTCATATTTAAAATAACAATGCCTACAAAGTACATTCAAAGACAAAAGGTGTTCTCAAACGATGTGTTTTCTCAAGGAGGAAAAAATATGGCGATTGTTCGGAAAAATTTTCTATGGTCGACCTTCCCGAGATTTTTTTTATTACAATGAGGATCCTTTGTTTTTAAATGATTAGCCATAATCACTATGGCAAATTGCATGCTTCTTACGTTGATTCGTGTGGAAGATAGTATGGGTCAATAGTCTTTCGCAAAACTACTACGTTTTTGTATGACATTAACCTATGTATGGTGAGTCCCAGTGCTGGGAGCGGATCTCCTTTACAGAGAGGGTTTAGAAAATAGACGGATCTCCTTTACAGAGAGAGTTTAGGAAATAGACCATCAATTTAGCTGGTTTAATATAGTTATATATATGAAACTAAGCGGAATGACAATTATCGAAGTCTTAAGTTTTTTTCCACAGTTCTGTCCGTTTGCGCGCGCAAAATTTTAAACATTTTTTTTATCTTTGTGTGTAATTGTCTTCAAATTACAGATCGAAATTCATAATGTACATTTCGTAACAGCTTGTGCGAATATATTTTTATACTAGTTTCAAATTTCGTGCATATCGTAAGTATACGTAATTGGATCGGCCTAAGTAATACAGACCCCTAGAGGATTCATGTACCAATGCTGTTTTGGTTACAAATTTCAATCTCTTCTGCTATCTGGTATGGGCTAGCTTGTGTGGTTTCCCATCTCATATTATTGGGATGAATGTAGGTGATAGAGTGCAATTTATAAGGACATGTATATTGTTCGGTCTTCAGAATATAAATGAAAAAATTATAACTTTTTGCAAACTTTTCCCATCGAAATAGGCAAAGACCACAGCCGTCCACTTGCTACGTTGCTTACACTCTTGCCGATTAAGGATACTAATGACCTGGCCTTTCTTTAAGACATCCTCGATTTAGTTGTAGCAAGTTTGCCTTGCTCACAAACACTCGCCTTTGAAATCTTCTTTTTTAGTAGCAGTAGAGCTCCTTGTGAAAGAGTTCGTCCAGAGAAATACACTGCCACCTTGACTGTTTCTGCCGCCAAGCAGTAATGTAAGTATTACTGCTTTCCGGTTTTGAAGGGTAAGGGTGCTGGTGAAATCACAGGCACTTTGGGACTTGTCAACTTATGTCTCAGGGTGACAGGCGCAGTGGAAACGGCCCTCAGATCTTTGGGATTTAAAATCTCTTTCTTTCATTCTGAGTGGCACTGCAAATGTTATAGACAGGCTTGTAGCTTACCATGAGGCGCACGACTTGCTCGTCCCGTCATTTGATATTATAAAAAAAAATCTTCCGCGCCTCAACGCACGTCTTTGTGTGTTTGCAATTATCACACAATATACCGAGATCAGTTTTGGTTTTGGACGCATCTGCTATTGGTTAGCAAAACAATACACTCAAATGAGTAACAGTGAAGTAACCTTTGTATATTGGTAATGTTCCCCATAAATGTGGATCTTCATACACACTGGCCTCACAAATTTGGCACTTAAACCATTCAACAATTGAAAAAATTCGGTCAACTGTCATAATAATCAGTAATTATGATCATCATATAGACTGCAAGGTTAAAAAACGAAATCACGATTGTTATTTAAAGTATTGCAGACGGGAACGGGGGCAATTGAGACAATAAAATGAAACTTAATGCTCGCGAAACCTGGATCCCATACAATTAAAACAGTTTTAGACAAGATGTTGACGGATAAGGCGGATAACGCGTGAGAGGTCGAGTTTGTAACAACGACATCGGATGTGAATCGTAAGGAAAATAGTTCGATAAAAATGTATCTACAAGAGACGAACGGTGAAACTTTCTTTTCATACAGGCTTATTTGTACACCTCGTAGTACTTTTGTTGGCGACAAGCTGTGACGCAGCCTCTTTTGTAATTATAGTTTTGCGTTTTGTTTTACCTTACTTTTCGCCTGTCTTTGTTTTCCAAATTTTGACAGTTGCTTTTTCTTCGCTCTCTCGTTCGGTTTATTTTTAACCGACTTCAGAAAAAAGGAGGAGGTTCTCAATTCGACTGTATGTTTTTTTTGTATGTATGTTACGCGATAACTCCGGTATTTGTGAACCGATTTTCATGATTATTTTTTTGTTAGAAAGACGGTACCTCCATAGCGTGTTAGTTCCATTTAATTTTGAAGAAAATTATCTACCTCTAAGGGTGGCTGTTTGCGCATGAAAATTCATTTTTATAAATAGCGCCTAAATTTTATTTTAAGGAGCAATTATTTTAATGGTTGATTTTGGTATTCTCCAATTCAAGGCGCTTTTCTCTCTCAATGTACTTTGAGTAGTAAGAACGGATTTTTATTATCTCCTGTGTCAAGTCCCGTATAGTGGCGAACTACGGGATGAATCCGGGTTTGCGCACTTTCCGGTAACCTATTATATGTATAAAACTTAGTAATTATATGTAATTCCACGTAATTTTGAGGTCGGTTTTTTTAGTATACTCTGTACTGAGATTGTCAATATTGTACTTTGAAAGGGGTTTTATTACATACATACATACATACATATACTTCACGCCTTTTTCCAATCGGGGTAGGCAGAGACAACAGTCTTCCACCTGCTACGGTCCTGACACACATCTTTCGCCTCATCAACACGCATCAATGCTTTCATACACGCTCGTCGGTTAAGGGTACTCTTGACCTGGCCCTTCTTGAGGATGGCCTCAATTTGGTCATGATAAGTTCTCCTTGGTCGGCCCATACCAACGTTACCATTACCAACGTTTTATTAAACGTGTTTAATTTGCCAAAGTTTTTCCATTATAGTGCACATGTTTATATACACTCCTCTCGCCAATGATTATATTACTAACATCATAAAACATCAAGTTCTGTTCCATAACTTTTCAGATTTTACTTTCGTACAAAAATAAGAATATTTAAATAGATCGCTCTAAACGGTGATAACTCTGTGTGGTGGCAAAAGAAAGCGCTAGCGTAAAATAACAGTTCAATGCAAAACGCAGAAGCGGGAGTGGGAGTCGGGGGGGATTCTTGCACGTTTGAACTTACTATCTTACCACCAAATACTTACATTTAAAGAGTATCTGATAGTAAAACAAAAAGTTAACTTTTTGGTTTTATTACGTATTCTAAAAATTCATGGACCAATGTTTATGATGTTAGTAAAAAACATCCTGCGAGGTTGTTAGTGTTTTACAAATAACCCTTTATATTACAAAGTCAAAGAATCATTTTTTCCAAACATTCAATAAACTTTTTTTTATTTTTTTATAATTACAACCTTCATCTTGTTCGAACATCGGAACCTTTAATAATATTATGCCATGAGAATGGATTAATTACTAAAACTTTCTAAATTTCTCGCAAAATAATGAGACGCAGGACACTGACCTTGCATCTATTTTTCTAAGCAACTCGTTTTCAAGCCACACCTAAAAAAGTTTTAAAAGGCTTCAGTGGTTTCCCGTTATATGTTCTCGTCTTGTATCCACCCACAATGGGTCAAGAATGTCCACTATATAGTATGACCACTTTATAGGATGCTGTCAAATGAAAAACCAATGTGGCAATTTGCACCGGCGTGTTAGTAAACGACGGCGATTTAGAAAAAACTCCGTCTGCAAAAAGAAATTGGTAGAAGTATTCTTTCTGGGCTATTGGAGCGCGAAACGAAGAGATTATGCAGATTGTCAATGTTCGGGGTCAAACTCTAAATTTGTGGTTTTAAGTAGTCACATTGAAAGTGGAGACATATGGTTGATAAATTCGACGTCACTATTTTATATATCCAAGACTATAATGGTGATGAAAAGAGAGCTCTGTATGTTGAATAGAGTTATTATTATAATAAGTAGTATAAATTCTTTAGAGGGCTTGAAAATTCCTTTTAGTCATATTTTTAAATAGATGCGTAAGATATATAATAATTATATAACGAAATATAAGTGTGTCAATGATTTAGTTACTCGTAGATAAAAAACAGTTTAGTGGTAGATTTGACCTTCCGTCTCGCAAGCAGTGGCCGTCGGTTCAAATCCTGGCTCACACCTTTGAGTTTTTCGGAATTTATGTGCCAAATTTAATTTGAAATTTATCATGAGCTTTGCGGTCAAGGAAAACATCGCGATGAAACCTGTACGTCGAAGACGGTTCACAACCGTCAGAAAACGTGTGAAGTCCCCAACCCGCATTGGGTCAGCGTGCGGACTATGGCCTAAACCCTCCCTTGAGAGGAGATCCGTATCCAGTAATGGGACGTATTACATAGGTTGTTGATGATGACGGAACAACAGTTTCTATACTTACGATTTACTTGCTTGTATATTTTTGTATATTATTTATTTTGCTAAACTATGGTGTCTTGTAGTATTTAAAAATTAGTTTAAATCACGATTTCGCTTTTTGTTTTCAGAGGAAGACTGGGCGGAGAGTACAGCCTACATGATGCACGAGGCATTCGAGGCATCTCCTCCGCGTCGCGCTGTATCCCCTCGACGCATCTCACCACCCCGCAGAGCTATTTCTCCTCGCTTCGATCGCAACTTCAACGACGAATATGATGGCCAATATCGTGAGCAACTGCCACCATTCAGGGAAGAAGCATCTTTCGATAGACGATATCGTCAGGAATCTCTTGAACGTAACGATAAATCTGAGAAATTCACAGAAGATGTCCCATACAGGAGGCGTTATGTCGCGGAGACAAAACCTTCCAATAGGAGTATAGACAGAGTTGATGATAGAAGGTTTGGGAAACTTCAAAGAGGACTTAGCGAAGGTAGCTTGAAAGTTGCCGATACGTCGCCAAAAGACCGTTTCAACGTTGCTAAGGAAAAATTCATGAACTTGGAAAGGGAAAGATTTAATAGAGAGCTGCAACAGCACATGGCGCTAAGGAGAAGCAGGCTGGAGCGGAACAGCCGCTCGACTTCTTCCCCAGAGGAAGAGAGAAGAGATGAGCGGCCAGAGAGGCATAGAGAGAACTCCAGGAGGGAATCAGAGCGTTCCTTGCTGGAGCGTCATAGGGAACCAGAGAGGCGTAAAGAAGATCGTATTCTTGACGAGCCAATTCGCAGGGAAGTTGAAAGACTCCCAAGAGTTGGAAGGAAACGTGATGAAAAGAAGAGGTTTGAATATGGTGCTGAGGATTACTTGAATAGAATTGAGCCAAAACCGCATAGGGAAGACTTTGATAGATACAACAGAAGGGAGTTGGATAGACGTATTGATGAAGATGAGATTATTGAGCCGGTCATTGAAGATAGAAGAAGAGATTGGCATGGAAATGATAGACAGAGAGCGTTTTCTCGCTCTCGCCTGTTGGACGATCATCGTCAGTCTTATGCTGAAGGTGATAGAGATCGGTTTTTCGAAAGAGATTTCAGAGACTTCCGTGACTTAGCTGACAGGCAGCCGGGGGCAAAGTTCCGCCATAGTTATGCGGAACCTATACCTAGAGGACGACTGGGAACCGTCAGACCTTACTGAATTGCCATAATAAATAGAAAAGACATGACCTGACGTATTGACGCCATCTTGGTAATATGTACCTTTGTATTGACGAAAAATTATTGTTATATAAAAATGAAAAATGTGTTTTGGTTATATAGATTTAATAATGATGTTTTTTGGACTAAGATGATTAATTATATGAATAAAATAATTTATATTTGTAGTGTATTGGGTAAAAGTTATTAACAAAAAGAAATAAGGGTGCGAGCAACGTGAAGTTGTGAATTTCTATTGATAATTAAGAGTATAGTCAGATATAATAAAATTGTGCCTACATGTTAGTTTTATTCAATACTCAATAATTATGACCTGCTATATACAGACCATATTTTGTAAATATAAATTATATAAAAATTGTACCTTTATATCAACATAGGTTAAGCAGTACTTGTTACTTTTTGTAATCTGTTTAATTTTATTTCATTTATATTAAAGATCATTAATTTTCAAATCGTGAAATATTCCACAATAAAATTGAAATGAGATTAATATAAAAAAGGTATAGTTATTTAATAATATTATGTTAATCTGTAATATATTTTAAGAAAAGCTGAATGTAACTTATAGTACGTACCTATTTTTATGGAAGTTGTCTTGCTTTAATGCCTCACGTACCGAAATTCATACGCGCAATTTCGGATCTGTGTGGTGCTACATACACTAGAGTTACTGTTACATGCTAGAAATATGGCAGAATGTTGTCTTGTCATATTTTTCTTCCGATATTGCGTATTAAATGAAACATTCATATAAAAGGCGGGCACGCGTTTACGCTCCTTATTCGCGTTCAGCATTTATGGCGGGGTACTCACTAGCGAGTTGTAACTGTAACATGTACAGTACAGTAACGAGGTTCAGTGTGTACGCCTGAAACATTCTGCACTCTTTAGAATGAGTGCCTAGTTCTCGTCGGCTCACTGTGAACCGCACGTGTTCCACTCGCGGCAAGCTCGCAAACCACGTACACGCTATGACTTTTGGTAACATAACATGCAACTGTTCCAGTTACAACTCCCTAGTGAGTACCCGGCTTATAACATCTGAAGGCGTAACACTTCCAGGAGGCGTTTTGTCCATTTGGGTCAATACATGGGATTTTGTCCAGACCTTACTACTGGAATCACCAAATCAACCATATTTATATGATAATTATATAGATATTGAAGGTATTTCAACAACAACACTATAGGCCTTGTTCAGAGTGGAGGTAGGCACGGATGCGGGTGCGAGTGCGTGTAAGTCAAATGTACGTAGACGTTTGTCGAGGCCGATACGGGCGCGGCATCTCTATTGGCTCAGTCCGCTCGTAAGATTCACAGCTCTTAGTTTAGCGTCTGTTTGCAACTTCAACGTGTGGATCTAACGATTTTAGTCGCTTCGGCGCTGTGAAAGGCAAGACGCCAAGACCCGCGCGCCCGCACCCGCGTCGCGCCTGCACTCTGAATGAGCCCATAGACTTCCCGTTAAAATTTTATTCAGCTTCCATTTGCTACCTTTTCAAAAGTGTCTAAAATCAAGTCGTATATTGGCTATATCATATACCTAGTGCATTTTAAAATACTTTTAAAGAAGGCAAATAGGTATACATATAAGTTACATTCTGTATAAATTAAGATTATACTAATATACCAGTGACATCACTATAGTACTTGGATTTATCGCAGTCCGTCCAAACCAGAAACGATGTATTCTATATTTGTACAATATGAATAAACGATTATTATACTTACTCTGTGTAATTCATTTTGATGTCATCCCTATTTAGGTGTACTAAAAGGTACCACAGGTTGTAGATACATTTGTGTGCATTTGCCAGTCGCAACAACACTGTGAAGGAGGTAATGATGCCTACCTCAATCATAGTACACTAGAGATACAACAGGGTGCAGTACAGCAAAAATCTTAAGGTCACTGCCACTGCGCCTGTCACCCTGAGACATAAGTTGACAAGTCCCATGTACCCGTAATTTCATCAGCACTCTTACCCTTCCAAACCAAAACGCAGTAAGGCTCACATTACTGCTGGGCGGCAGAAATAGGTATTCTACTCTACTCGCTACTCGTAATCTACTCTACGCTACTCTATTTCATTCAAACACGCTTACAAATTATATGTTGTATATATCGATAGTAAGATTATTTTCAACTTGTTTGCAAGCGTGTTTGTTTTAATATTTTTTTATTATAAAATTTTATTACCTGTTTATATTTTGGCGGGGCCTGTTTCTTTTCTCATATTAGCTTAAGGCTGCCTTTCCACCAGAGATGTGGTAGCGAGGTAGCAAGGTGACGCGAGAATTTGTGATTTGCGGCGCTGTGACACGGTGTGATATTTTCCATCAAATCTGAGCAAGGCAGCTAGGCGGTGAGAGGATGTGCAGCTGCGTAGTGCGAGGATGCGTTACGATCTCTTTTCAGCTATGCGCGGACGGGGTACGGTGTGGTGGGGTGAACGGTGGCGATATGTCAGTGTCAGTTAGTGTCACACTTTCAGTAGCTCTAGTTACCTACACCGTTTTGCACACATTCCTATTTTGTATGTAAAAATCTTAGCTCCGCTAACCCTTCTCCACCTGAGCTGCGCTGAGGACGGCTAGGAAAACGCAGTAATCATATTGGTAGATTTTTTCTCGCACACTGCCTCGCTACGTCGCACATCTCCAGTGGAAAGGCAGCCTTAAGGTACCCTAATGGTTTGACCCATCGCCTCTCCTGCAGAGGCCGTAGGTTCGAATCTGAGCTAGCACCTCTGTATGTACTTCGTGATAAAACCTGCACGTCGAAGAAGGTTCACAACCCTCGGAAAATGTATGAAGTCTCCGGCCCGCATTAGGCCAGGGCGGCCTATGGTCTAAACCCACATCTGATAGTAGACGACCCGTGTCCAGCAGTGGGACGTATTAATGGGTTGGCGGTGATATTAGGCTTATAGAAATTATTCCTTATCATTCGTGTCGTTGTTATAACAATTACTATTTTATTTTTAATTAATTTAATAATTTTTGTAATCGCTTGTGGTTATGTGATTTTGCTTCTCAAATGAATTATTGCCATATATTACAAGCCTCTGAATCGTAAAAGGTCGTACTGGCTTAAAATTACTTACTTAATTCTGGTTAATGACTGCTTTAGGCATTTAACCAATTCCAAATACGAATATGCCAAAGTAAATTTGAGAAATGTGGCACCTGCCTAATATAGTATAGAAAACCTAGATTCCTTAAAACCCTAACAAGATTCTGCGCAAATTGGCAGTTTTAGAATACTTGGCTCGCCTAGAATGCCTGCCCTAAATTGTTTCTAGCTGATTCACATCAATCCGCCTACGTTAAATCGAATTGCTTTATTACGAAATAAAATACTGAAACTGTATTGTTTAACAATGTTTTAAGCTTTAAATTTCAACGTTATGTAACTATGTAAGTTATTATTTTCCATAATAGTATTTTATGCAATCAAGCATAATGAAGTTTCTCAAAGTGAGTTATGTGTTTAGTAACAGATACGAAATTTTAATACCTAATTATGTGACGATTGCATACAGTACTTTTGTACGAGTACGAATTAAAATAAACAAACACAACCAATATTAATTAACGTATAACTATTTTGTCAATAATCCACGGCTATAAACTAAAAAAAAAATTTTATTCAGCAAAAAACAAGAAATTCTTTTTTCGGAAATTTTCAACTTTTTCAGTTTAGTAGCAAGTACCATAGATATAGAATTTTAGTTCAAAACTAAAAAGAGCGCCTTTTTGATAGGGTATAAGAAATTATAATTGACACATTAAAGTACAGGCGTTGAAAAATAATTTTAAGACTTTGTATTATTCTTACCATGTACACCTTAGGCTCAATTTATATTGCGACGGAACGGAATGGAAGCGAATTTTTGTAACGATATTTATTGTAGGTACATATCATAATAAAATTTATGATCAATTGTGTTACGTAGAAACTATATACGAGCCAAAAACTTCCACGGAATGCGCGAGCTTTCTCGAACTTCATTATTTCTCCTGTATTGTACCTGTAACCTAACTGTATAACTATGTACCTGTAAACCTGTGATATCGTTATAAAAATTCGCTTCCATTCCGTTCCGCCGCAATATAAATTGAGCCCTAAGATCGCTAGATACGTAGTTACAGTGCTGCGTCATCATTATACTACCTAAGAACTATGTTCTTGTTGATATAATCTCCTCAATTCCTCACAACCCATAATAAGAAAGAAAGGAATCTTTTTAAAACAACGAAACAAAGAAACGGGTATATAATGATGAATTTATAAAAGTTATGTTGAAGGAAAGGTAGAAAGACAGATAAATCGCTATGGATCGTCTGCATCTACATATATGGTAAGTTTAAGTAGGCAGGTAAGAAGAAATAATAAATAACTACAGGAAAGTTATTTAGCAAACATGATTTATTACCTGTAAATACATGAACATTTATTTACAGCATTACATCGTTAATGACGAGTTCTGCCAGCTCATACATATGTGAGTACATACATATTATGTAAACTATCAATTAAGTATAGGTATATAAAAAATATTGCACGAAAATTGCACCAGTAAAAGTTTTCAAGATCATAATTCGTTACAGACTACAAATTGAAACAAAGTTACTATGAAACAATGACATTGTGCCTACCAATTTTATCGAATGAAACACTTACTTAAAAGCTTTTGCCGTAAATTTTTTATCAGGCGCTTTTGCTTATTCTTATATTTTTTATTTAAATGCCTTTGCCGTTACTTTTGTATCAGGCACTTTAGCTTATTTTTACATTTTTTACAACTATTGATGATTGATGACTGTAAAAGAAAAATAACGTATCGTATGAGTGCATAACATCGTTTCATAGTAACTAAAAATACACTTGACTCGAAATATTGCACTAACATATTGCATCTATGTATATAAAGATTATTTCCACAAATAAATAACTAATACATAGTCTATCACTAGCTATTACCGATATACTTATTTTCCTTATTATATTCAATAAGGTGGTATACGTTTTATGAGATATAAATTCTTAAAGAAAAAGATATTCACAAAAAATCAAATCATCACACAGTTAGGTACTTATCCATTCCAATCCAATATCATAAAAGGAGACCATTTTATAAAATTAAGTATTATCTAGTATTTGGAATACATATATAGTTTTAGAAGTGTTTTTTAAAAAAATATTTTGAATTAATTTTATACATTGAATAATCGCAAACAAGCATTCGCTGAAATGCAACAGATGAAAGAATTTTGGGAACACATTAGCTCCACCACTGGGTTACGTTCGATGGTGATTGTCTTCATTGCTTCGGATAACAAACATACGTTCGCATCGTGGGTATATCCACAATATATCAATAACACAGTATACTATTACGATGGCTTGGTGCGGACCTACGTACATTTACAAATATTAAATAAGCCATCTTAGAAATTTGTTATAATTATCATGATATTATTCTTCAGCCCTTACATATGGACAATAATTGTAGTTACATTGTAACTTGTAGGAAATATATAGAATTTATACATTATCATAAGAGACACAAGACAAATTCTTTCATCAGTTGCACTTTAAACAATCCTCTAATTAAGGTAAATATCCCAGCGTGTCCTCTAAACTAGCGTTGCGACTCAGCGGTCGATGATCGAACATTCTAGCAAGAGGAACTGAGCGAGGTGGAGACGGCGGCAATGGAGGTGGACGAGGTCTTCTTCCTCCAGCTAGAGACCTTACGTCAGTTCGCTGAGATAATCTCACATCAGCGAATAGAGCTGCCATTTCAGCTGATTTCTTGACACTTAGAGCATCTTGGGATCCTGCACCTGTGCTTCGGACTGAAAGAGGTAGAATTACGACGTTTAGTCAATGAACATTTGATATCAATACAGGAATATTCTCATATAGGTCAGACATTGGCTGATCATGCAAGCTGATTAACCAAAGATTACAGATTTTCATCAATTTTCAACTTTAACATACACGTTTCTCAAGTTATATTTCTTGATAACGTAATCTAAAAAACACAGAATTGCAAGTCGTCTAGGACAGCTTTTCTGTGATCAAGATCAAAGGACCGAAGCCGTCCTTTGGACATATTACTGCTTATATCAATGTAGTACTATATCTTTATCATGCTACTGACCAGTCAATCTTTGCATGTTGCGGCTGGTAGTGTCTCTGGCTTTGTTCTGCAATAGTAGTTCGTAGTCCAAAGCTAAACTGTCCGAGCTGCGCGCACGCCGACTGCGCTCCTCGCGCCGACGACTTGATGACGATCTGGAAGAGATTGAAAGAGAAACTTTGTAATCATAAGTTAGAGCCATGATTATAAAGTTTCTTCATTCCATCTATAATCATATTCATAGACAAACATAATAAGTTGCTAAGTTTTATAAGTTCCTTTTCAATCAAGGATATTGATTCAATTACGGAAGAGAATAATAACATAAAAAGCCAATCCTTTTTATGATATTACGCTAATTTTATTTTTTAATTATACTTCAGAAAAAACTTAAGTCTAATTCCTTTTAAATTTAAAACTTCAATTCAGTAATTATACCTAGTGAAAAATATTAAATATTCAAGTAGATAAAAGGTAAAAAATTTAAGCTACTTACCTTGCGCGATTTATTTTCTTTTCATCATACTCATCAAAGGCCTTTTTCAACCTATCGGTATAAGTCTTTTGCGAAGGACTGCGCAAGTATTCCAAACTTTGTGAGGTCTGCATAATTGCTCGATGTGGTCCCGCACAGTAACACTTATTACTGTCAGCACAGCTTTCAGAATCGCAGGAGCAGTAGCTGAAATCGGCATCGTATATTTCCCTGGAAAAGAAAAGTATTTTGTTAAAGAATTCGCAATAAAGTTGTCATTAAAATTGCTACTCCAAAAAGAAGAGCTAACATTACACGAAAATCTTGGAAAGTCAGTATGTTACATGAGCTGTTAAATTAAACTTTCTTCCGCAAATTAATTACGTGTTCAGACGCAGTTATCAGAATACCTAACTTGAAAATTATCTAAAATATTTCACCAATCATAACATATACACCAAAGTATTTCCTCATAAATCTTAATGAGTATAGTAAAAACTACAAATCCTAGTGAAATGATTATTTCGAAGTCAACTGTAAATAATTGTAATTTGGTTCAGTTACTCATGAGCCATCGCAAACCGCGGACGTGACACGCTCTGATAATCACCACACACATTTCATTTCTACAACACGCGATTCAGTTGAAACGAACCATAAATGACAATGAACAAGGTCCAAATTTCAAAGGTACTAATTGTGATTATGTGAATGAAATTAAAGCAATAGTCACTTGCCGAAATGAGCTTCTATTAGAGGTAAATGAAATGTAAAACAAAGACAGGAAAGTAGTGAAATTTTGTTAGGAGTAGTTTGCTCATTTGGTGAACGATTAATTGTGGCGTAAATAACGAGATAATCAGATTTTGGTTTCGAGATCAACTTTCTACATTTTAGAAATGGTATTGCAATGATGATTATCTACATAAGACTATTCGATGTGTAGTACGGTTAAGTACCCATAAAATTAAGAAGGTTGAAAACTCACTTAGAACAATCCTTACAGCTTTTGCTCTTGGACAATAGACGAGCTTTAGCAGAGTCCTTTTCTCTTTGAATCTCAGTTGCTGAACAGTAACATTTCGACTTGCAATCTTTCAACGAGCAGTAACATCTGTCAATGCAACTCTCGGATTCGCATTCCGAACATGAAACATAACCACTCGAACTATTTCTGTTTTGGCATCCGAGCCTATTACTCAGAGTTAGAAAGTCAGAATCTTCAGATGTTGATGTCCGTTCTCCAGGCCTGGACACTTTTCCATTGCGTCGTGATACATGGACCATTTTGTCAGATCGTTTCGAGTTTCTATGCCTCATTGCTTGTCTTTTTGGTGGTGGTAACACAGGCTCTTTTGGTCTAAATTGCCTCAAATCGTAACTCGATGTTGACACTGGACTCTCAGAAATAGGATCTTTAGTTCCTGCTTTTTCAATATCAAACGATTCGAGCTGTTTTTTCTTTTCTCTACGCAAATCCTTTCCGAAGGGCATTCTGAAAACCATTCGAAGACCACTAGCTCCTTTGAATATCTTTCTTCGTTTATTCTGAAACATGCTGTTTCTTCTTAGAATTTTCTTTTTTTGCTTTTTCATTATTGCTTTACTGTGCTGGAATATTTCATCTTTCGTCAAAGTTACGGCTAATTTTAATAGGAATTCTTTGTAAATCGGTTTTAAATCGTTAAAAGACATTCCTTCTGCGTCAATTATGGCATTTAAAATTTCATCCATCGAGTGCAAATTCTCTTGTACTTTGAATTCGTTGAATAGTTCGTTGAATCCTAACGGCGAACCGCCTCCCTTTTTTCCATTATTTCTGAAAAATAAAAAAAACTGTATAAAAGAATGTGTATTCTACAAATTGCAATTACAAGCAAACGAATGATCGAAACACTCAACGAAGCGTGTTCTATTCGCATCTAATTACCGAGTTATTTTCAGAGCTCAATATAATTGATGAAGTGAGAAATTAAGATCGCGGATATTGAGACATCATATATTGGAAACCACACGATTTATGGACTGAAACGTTCATACCTGTGACCAATCGATTTGTAACGAGTTAATCCACCGGCGTTGAGGAAACTTCCTGATCGTGGAATTGCTACCTTCGTCAATATATCACCAGATTCATTCAATGATTTTCGCTGACTCTGGGTTCTCCTTAAAGGCTCCTTTGTTTGATCCAAACCTGATTCTGAAGGTGGTTTTGAAGGTACAGGTGGCGGCACTGTCGGTGGTCTCTGCAGATTCCTTCTCTCCAATCCTCTAAAGAGTTCAATCTTTTCAGATACTTTACTCCGAACCGAAGAATCGGTACTACTAAGTTTCTTTAGATTTTGCAATTTAGGATTGTTTGGAACTATTTTTGAAAAAGACTTTTTAGACTCTTGCGTGTCACTACCGCTAGTATCGTTGTGCTTAATGGAGTCCAATTTTGCTTTCACCTCTTCTACAGTGATTCGTTTCGGTTCGGCGGGAGGAATGGACGGAGGTGGAGGAGGGTGTGGCAAACTCTCCGATGATATCTTTTTAGTCCTTTCCAGTTTTGGCTTCTCGTTGAAAGTTTCACTCGCCGAAAAGCCATCAGCTCTATCACTATCACCGCTCTGAGAGGACGTACTCCTTTTTTTGCGTGGTGGTCTCACAGGGATTTCATTCGGAGAACTACTCGCTACGCTCATGCAGCTAACTCCATTTCTGTTTTTCAGTTTCTTCTTTTCATTGTGGCCTTGCCGACTCATGTGTGACATAAGAGATTTGTATAACGTGGCTGCTATAACAATAGCGTCCTCGGTCGTTTGACATACAAATCCATGACACTCTAGCTGCTTTGCGACGCCAATTTTCCTCATCACTACAGCGAAAATTGGTGAATGAGAGTTTTCGTTGTGGGAGAGGATATATTTTCTGTCAGCAGGTTCTAACGTTTTGAATAATGCATCCTTGTCAATATGATCCGGATCAGTAATAAGGGGCAAGAAAGCAAAGCTTAATTCGTGACCATTCTGCTCTGAAGGTTGGACAATGAATTTAACAGCAGACCAAACCGCTATCGTAGGGAAAGGGTTGAGTTGTTCAAGGTCCCCTTTTTCTCCTTTGTAACGAACTTTCAGTCCGCTTTTAGAGATTTCTAATCGGCCCGTTAGAGCACCTTTATGGCGAAAATTTCTTCTGTATGCGAAATACAAATCTTTGAGAGGAGACTGAAGACCAGATAAGCTGGTGACCTTGCTATGTAGGGGCGTAGAGCCGAGATAGTGCACGCTGAACATGTGAACGCCAATGCTTTCGCTGGCTGGTCTGGGTTCACCTGCCATGTCTGCGAACATACGCTCTATGCGATCCTGTACCATGTTGTTAATTTTATTCATTTTCCCTTGACAGTAGTGATCGTCATCTTCATAGATTGCCACTTTGCTGTCGCGTGCCGTTGAACTAACCTGAAAATGGATGATAAATGCTTTTGATTCTTGAAAGTACTTTTTTACCATCGAGTTTTATTATAGCTGAGTCCAAAAATAATAATAAAAGCATAAGATTCCAGTTTTAGTAGAAAAATAAGGTTATCAACTCGCCTACCATTTACGGGTAGTATGATAATTAATTTCTTTTTCAGACAACCTTCGATAATATACTACCAAATAGATGGCACAAAATCATATCACTTGACCAGAATTTAACATGTGATTTCCAAAGTTTACCTTGCTATCTCTTCTACCAATGTTTCCGGCAGTTCCGTAGGGCAGACTATTCACGGAGCGTGAATCGTCAAAGAGTGCGTCAATCTTCTGCTTATAGAGAGACAGTGAACAGACGCTGGGTGCTCGGGGCCGGCGTGTCTCGTCATCGCGCGTACCCAGACGAAACCCGCCGAGCGCACCCTCACTTTCACACGTCACCATCTGTAAAACCAATAAACAGATGGTTTCTTGCAACGTTCGAAAACTAGCTCGTACTTCCTACCTATGGTACAATAAAGTCGCATGTGATCATAGTCAAAAGTGCTTTTCTCTTGAGAAAGTCACAAAAATAATACGTACTATATGAAACAAATGATGTATATGTGAAATTTTATGATTCTCCTATTTAAACATAAAAAATATAACGACTTATTTTGTTCGTAGAATCTTTGAACCTCCACCGTGAAAAGTTGTGATCTTGCAGACGTGGCCTTTAAGCGTTAAACACGCAGAGAACGAGTGCGGATCGGGAGCGCGGCGAGTCTAATTCCGCATATTTATATGGATGACAACACACCGACCGCGGACGCGGGACTAGACCCGCCGCGGTCACGACTCCCGACCCTCGCCTAACGCGCGCCCTACTCGCGCCCAACCCGCATCCACTCTCTATATGTTTCACGCTTAATTCACTTAGAACGTAAAGCATTATGCTCTTAAGGCGGAAGGTTTTTAAAGAAATTGAAAGAATTTTAAATTATTGCAAAAGTTTATCTTCTTTTCTTTTAATTTAGGTATTATTTAGCAGACATTATGAATAATGATTGCATATTATACATATAACATTGTCAATATTGCGAGTTATATAAAGTCAAGATTTTCATACAACATTGTGTTGAGGCCATTGTTGCTTCACGGCTCTAACACATGCATTTAAATTACCCCTGCACTTACAACTGGACCGTCACTAGTTTCTTAAAACGTAGCTAATGTTACCGATTGGAGCTATTTAAAATAACTAATAATAGCCGCGTGCGCACATCCGTAGTGGAACCATGTTAATGCTCTGGCGGAACGATTGGTTTTTGCCGCTAAGATCGCTCAAGCGATTAGACTTTGCAGATAATGTTCGAAGCTAGCACATATGCATAAAGTTTTCAATAATGGGATAAACCAGTATCTTGCGGAAGAGCGCTGGTCAATAAATATGTTTCTCTATTAGACACGAATTTAGGTCCTAGTTTGCTGCGCGGACCCATTGCGAATTTTTTGTCCCAAACAACCACATCAATTACCTAGTTACATACTAGAGAATTCCCTACGGTACAAGTACCAGAGCGACGGAATTCACTCCAGAACACCCAAATATAAAATTTATTTCTCAAATTGGTACCGAGCGCCTACTGTGTTGTGCCACCGAGGTCGTGAGTTTTACTTTGAGACCTGTATACGATACCTCCCACGTAAGTTGTTATAAGTATAAATACCATTTCTTGTATTTTAACTTAAATTTATCATTTTTTATGTATATTATAGATCTTTGAAATATTTTCGTTACCCAGTTAGGTAACTTTACAATTAGCCAGCCTGGCTAGAGATGTCGCTATTATCTGTAATTAAATTTGAATTTAACTGATGTTCAATATTTTTTTGTGAAATTACAGCACTAGTTAGTTATAATTATTAATACGAACCTCGAACATTTAGAAAAAAATCCTTCGATCCGTCCGGATTTGAACCGACGTTTTCTAGCAAACCGTGGCAGACCCTATGTCAACTACGGAATGAACGGAACGAACCTGCGGACTCACGAATTTTTCTATGTGCTAGTTGTCGGATCTTTGTATTTGGTTTTTCAACGCCTCTTACGACGTAGCGCCATCTATGAGAAATCTATGAAAGTATATGTAAGGTAGAAAGTATGTGTATAGAATAGAGAATAATGGAAAAGAGAATTCGAGAACGATTCAAAAGTTCAAAAATAAGTGGCCAGGAACTAGAAAAGAAGATGATAAAAAGGTTGGACGGTCAGTTCAATACCGTCCCGCACTAAAAAGTTTGGCAATTCGTTCTTATGCCGAACCATCAAATTGTGGAACCAACTCCCGGCGCATGTATTCCCTCCCCTCTATAACATCGGGTCCTTCAAACGTAGTGTGAAGAAGCATTTGGCCAGATCAGCAAAATGATAGTGACGGAGTGAAGATATTTGTGTTTTCCATCCGTTACTCTCATCTCTGGACTGTATTCGCACTTTCCATCAGGCGCGGGCAGTCATTTTGCCGAGTCACAATAAAAAAAAAAATATATAAGGTAAGATGACGATGAAGGAGATCAGCATCGTCATAAATGTTAATAATCTATCCCTGCACAGAAAAGATACCACATGTCCTAAACAAAGATAATCTCCGACGATATTACACAACCACTCTTATCTTGTAGGCAGGAGTAAACATTTTATTTTATAAATGGTTTGTTTTCAGTATATCCGCCACCGTAAAACGTGTCTTACCTGTCGGCCAGGCTATGGGCTTTAAGCCCAATATTTATAAGCATTTTGACGTCCATTCACCCTTCACTCCGAGCACCTGCAACAAGTAAATTATACGTAAATAAACATAAGTAATCAACATTAACGGATCTCTACAGTGAGAACAAATATCAGCAAGGTTTGTATGAAAGTACCGAATTCAAGTTGCGTGGGCTTCAATACAACATTCTCAGTCGCCGCAATATTTGCTGATATTATAGTCAAGTTAATTATCGTACTTCTTTGGGGCCAAAATTATTACAGAGCTCAGGTCTTTTTTTTCCGTAGGGAAATCTAGAATAAAATTGCTTTTTGTCCGTGGACCACCTGACTGGTTCACTTCAGGCGACCACGGGCAATTATTTCTTCAAATTTTTCTTTTCTCGTCAGTCACCTTGTTATTAAAGTCCTTAACATTTTTTGACCAGTTCATGCGTTTATTTTTCTAAGTGTTATCAATTATTTTAATTTTTATGATCCACTATTAAATTCTCTACAATATTAATTTTAAAAACTTAACTTTATGATTGATTTTTTTTAATTTGTAATCGGTTGTACATTATTTGTTGTAGATACGTAAAAATACAGACAAAAAGAAGAACAGAATATATGGGTAGATATCCCGCCGCTTATAAACCAGTCACGCAGTCAATTCTTTCAAGCCATCTATCACAGCAGAGCTGAGAATGAATGTGTTCAATCAACCTATTATGAATACTCCAACAAATTAATTTAAATTGTGCTTTTTTTTAAATATTTTGCAATAAATCGCAAATTTTAGGTATTTTTTATTTATGTAATAGATAAGAGTTGAAAAGCTGTGAATATAAAATACACTGAAAACGTAAGTTGTATCAAGTAACAATTTAAGTAATAAATTGAATCATACTGTGATTGATACAATTATACTGAAACAAGCGTGAAGTATTTGTATGTACGTAAAGCTTTCTATACACCGAGCCCGCCGACACGGCGACACTGCCGTTGGTGTGGGCGGTCTTGTTTCTAGAATCATGTCATAGGTATGATTAGATATAAGGCCGCCGACACCACCCCGCCGGGCTATGTCCCCAGGTCGGCGGGCTCGGTGTGTAGAAAGCTTAATAGGTCTATTTGTACACATTGTTCGGATTATTCGTACATAAGTATAGTTTTTAAAAAAACTTTTGAACACATAAAATGCTTAAAAAATATTCTCTGCTCCGTTTTCAAAGAGAATAGGCCTAATGGTAATTTAAATATCTAACTAACGTCGAGTTGATCAATCACGATCAGTTAAAACGCAAGAGAGCTCGAAGCAAGAGTGAGTATCAATTTCATCTGGTAAGTATTATTCAGTGTAATAAATCACAAGGTAGGAAAGTGCATTACCGAGATATTTATCCTAAATGCACTTTGATAGGCTTCAGTGCACCGTAGTTATTGAGGCGAATGTTAATAACTGTATCTTTGCAACTATTCATTATTATGCATTATTGTGTGTATAAATTAACGTGGTTAAGGCCGAACCCTTGTATTCTTTAACAATAATTATTATACATGTCGAGTTCTTAGATTTTCGCTGTTGTTACACATAGGAAATGAAACTATTTTTTATCCCGATTTATACCGCGTATGTTTGTTTTTTCAAACAAACCAAAGTTTCGGGCCCTTTACAGGTGATATGGTCACTGTCGACTGAGGTGGCAAAGTATAAAAGGTGACTTTACCACGTCAGTAAACAATGAGATAGTAAAGTGCCCGAAACGTTGGTTTGTTTGAAAAAACAAATATACGCGATTTAAATCCGGAAAAATACTTTCATGTCCAACAATTATAATTTTTTTCCAAAACAAAAGCCGATCTCAAAAGTTTGCTTATCCTTTTCGCTGTTTTATTTTCATTGGAATTACGTCTGCGTGGATCGGTTCTATTGCGCGGGTCGAATGGCAGGGACACTGGCTTTATTTCAGAATTTATTTTTTTACAAACGAAATTAAAGCCATTAGAGAAATGTATATAGTATACTATACGTATTCTATTTAATTTAGTTGATATAGTTGATTTTTTTATCCTATTGATTACAGCGGTTTTCTTGTAAAGTTTCGAGATAAGTTTGTGTTTTTATATCGTGAAAATTTTTTGGAATCGTGTTTTCACATAGTAATCAGTATATAATACCATCAATTTTACTATATACTTTTCACAAAGTAATTGATTCAACACTTTCATTGTTATGCGGAATCAACCAAAGCCATTTAATGTATCACTCTAAGGGTCGAATTCTAGAACTCTACTCAACGCTCAAGTCAGGATTTGAGCAAACTTGAGTATGATTTGAAGCACTGGAAGTACTACTCTAATGGCAAGGACTTGAGTATGATTTTCAGTGCTCACTGCAATACTCATGTCCTGACTTGAGTATTGAGTAGAGTTCTGGAATACGACCCTTAAAGTGTACAACTTCGTGCACCTATCACCCTTGGTTGAAGTGCACGGTATAATCAACTTAATGCACCTGGACTCTTTAGGTGTACAGTGTGATAGTCCTATACACATCATTGTTGATGAGTCTATCAATTGATTAACTAGTTGCAATTAGTGTTTGATCCTACCACGCATAATCAAGTCCACTTTGCAGTGCACCTAAAACACCTGAGGTATTGGGTGGACGAAGTCGTGCACTTTAAGCACCCGAGTGATCTATGCGAAGTCAATTAAGCGCACATAATGGTTAAATAAAATGTACCCAATGATTAATTTCGTATAACAGCGACGACTAAGAACATTTATTTTGCCTTACGTAGTTTTCACTCTACATACGCCAATTTATCGATAAGACCGCAAGGAAAATGAACTAAAAACACAATGCCTTCAAAGACCATATCGAGGATTAATGACACGTGCTTGCAATTTGCGGTACTGGAGTACTCTATTATCATCAAAATAAAGTGCATCCTGTCATGACAAAAACCACAAAGTTTTCGAAAAATATAATGTCTGAATAGCTAAATGTGTATAGATAATTTACGTTGTTGTTTCATTTACCTAATTCCGACATACGTAACTTCTTGAGTTTCTTATTGAGACTATAGGTTCAATTTCTGAAATTAATTTAGAATTCAAGTGCATGAAGAGTTACAAACTCACACATTCAAACCCCTAACTGTAGACCGTTAGCGCACTTTGTCCGATAAGTATCAGCAGGTCGATTCAGGAACCTTACGATAACTCTGTTGTAGACCGTTTCTTTTTGATATCGTACGATTTGTTTTAATTTTTGTTCACAATAACCGAATCGAGCTTCTAACTGTCGTATTCGAAACCGAACCGAAATGAACTCACACCCGCACGATTACGGTTAACTTCTCAAACGGCAAAGGCTACATACTACGACGTACATCTACACTAGAAATCAATATTATTGAGTGCCTCACTATCAACCTTAGAAGGTGTGATAAGTATTATTAGGAGACGCAGACGATGTGATATGAAATTCTCTTATTCTTTTAAATGCAGTCTGGATTTTGTCCAATTTTATTAATTTATTTTAATGTAAGACTCATGCATTCCTATATTTTAGACTTTTAAAGTCATTGACTTACAATTATATGGACGTCGGGTCCGCGCTAAAAAGTATCCGAACTTATAGGGCGTTAAAATCGTATACAGACCGTCATTCACGCTTTAGCCTTCGTTTGTTCGACTGACAGCGAAGCAAGCAAAATTAGACAGCACTGCGATGACATTACAATTTAAATTCAACGTTTTAGCTTTTTCATATTCCTTTACATTTAAATAGGTTGACTTTGGACATTTTTTTCGTGGTTTTTGTATTAGACCCGTCATCCATTTATTTGTAAGTCAATGTTTAAAGTGTTAAAAACATAAAAGGATCTTCATTTCTCTCATAATCTATTTTACCGAACAACTCCGTGATCGCTGTTGGATAAGGATATCGTATCCGAATCGAACGTTTAACGCGAATGTTCTGAATAGCTTGGAAATCATCTTTCGATTCGAGAACGACAAAAAAACGATTCGTTTAAAATACCGAAGAGTCCTGAATCGGGCAGCAGTTTTGAATCCGAGAAATGACGGTCCGAAATGGCATGGATTATTTTATCTCTAGATATATCTATCTATCAAGCGATATTCGTATTATCTCGGATTAGAATCGGACTTAGCGAACAAGCGACATCCGAAGTGTCCGAAGGTCCGAGTTTTCTACATTTGTAACGCTCTATGATAGGTTTTGATCGAAATTATTTTCAAACATAATATTGTTGTTTGAAATTAGACCCTTTGGCAACATGAATTCCTGTTTATAGAAAAATAAAAGATAATTTCCTGATATCGCGATGGTAGACTGCTAAATTAATAAATACGTATTTTAAATGCCTGTCTCCCACCGCGGTAGGCAGAGACTATGGACCTCCACCTGCTATGCTCCTGACAAATCTCTTTCGCCTTCCCCACTCCAATCAGTCTCTAAACAATAGGTTTTAATCGGGTTTCACCTTTGCTGTTGTGCTTGTTGTTGTTAGGTGATTAAAGTAATAAATTATAACATTTCATCATTCCTGAAGTCATGATAACAGTAAAAGTTTTAATTTTACAAGTAAATTTTAGAATAAACTTTCAAAAACAACGAAAATATCTTCAGGTGCCATTTTTGCAAAACTATTAACACGTTATTGGTATCATCGTCCAATTAATAACATATTAATTATTTTAACACATTCAAACGTCAATAAGACGATAGGCCACAAATGCTGGTACGATAAATACATCACAGATAAACCGATCAGCGTTCGCCAACTATGCAAATTAGGACATAAACAAGAAAACGAAAGTATCCCAGTACGGAAGACTCGCAGATTGAAGCAAAATTGTTTACGCGTGTTTCTAGATTTGTTTACGTAACAACAAGGCCCGTTATCCACCAAAACGGACTTGTGAAGAGTTATACCTCTTCAACCAATAAAGTTGCTTTATTTTTAACCGACTTCAAAAAGGAAGAAGTTCTCAATTCGACTGTTTTTTTTGCACGTATGTTACGCAATAACTTCTGCATTT